TATATATATATATATATATATATATATATATATATATATGAAATGTTATATATGTGTATATTTTGCGTTAGTCATAAGAATAAAAAAATATATGTAGTATTTGTTACACATTTTATTATTGTATTGCACAATATACATTTTATATCTGCATTAAAGTAATAAGAATTAATATAATTTATATATACAATTCATTACTGTAATGTAAAATATATTGCATTACAGTAATTAATTTATATGATTTTTTTAATTAATAAAATTATAATGCATTTTATACAGCATGGTAGCCTACAATTAGTTTATTTTAAAAAATACAGAATAATTGAATACAGAATGTGTATCATTGGGAAAAATCTAAGGAAATTCAAAAAAACTAAATTAAATCATCTACACTCTTTATGGTTATGAGAGGTGCAAATGTGCTCAATTTAATTCATGTAGATTTAAATTCAATTTATTTGAATTATGCGGATGTCAAATACAATAAATCTCAAAAAAATAGTCTTCATGCAAATTAATACATTTCTTTCTATTGATTTTTGGGGTGAAATATGACGCAAGCATTTTCTTGACATTTTATAAGATGCATCCATTTATTTGTAAGTGATACTGGTTCTCATCCAAGAGATGCTCTATACCAGGGCTATCCAAACTCGGTCCTGGAGGGCCGGTGTCCTGCAGAGTTTAGCTCCAACCCTAATTAAACACACCTGAACCAGCTAATCAAGCTCTTACTAGGCATAGAAACTTCCAGTCAGGTGTGTTGAGGCAAGCTGGAGCTAAACTCTGCAGGACACCGGCCCTCCAGGACCGAGTTTGGGCACCCCTGCTCTATAGCTTTTGCTGCTGTAATCCAGCTTAATGAAGTCTAATTAAGATCGGCTGACCTTGTCCTGCCGACTGACACCCTCCAGCTCTTTTTTGTTCCAGCTCACATGCTTTTGTTTTCACTCTCAATTCCTCAGTGGTCGATTTCGTTTCTCTCTCTGCCCTCTTTTCACATGATCTTTGGGGTTTAATCTGTGAATACAGGAATACACACTGTAATAAAGCCTTATTGTGAGACGAGTGTCAAATAAATTATAGCTATACTGCATATTTTGTCCTCACACTTATCAATATTTGCCTTGATGGAGAAGGGCTATTGTTTGTTTTTGACTTTATTTTTGTTTGATCCCACCATCTATTTGTTGCACTGATGAAAGTCTCCAAACTCTAGTAGATATTTTCTATGTATGTGAATGTGATGTTTACTAGTGCAAAAGGAAAGCATTTGGTATAGTTTATTGTACAGTCAGACTGATATTTAGACAAACTACTGCTGCAACGTAAAATGCACAAACAAAAGCTTAAATCAATTTAAATAAAATAAGTTTCAGTAGTTCCTGTAAAAAACTATTTTGCATGAGCTAATTCACTCCCACAAACTTATTTTTTTTTAACATGCGTCTAGAGAATCTAATGTAATGCATCCGTAGTTTTAACCTCTCCCTTTAAACTTTAAGTCAATGTCGTATTGGAGCACAGAGGTCCAAAGTCTAGAGTAAACAACTGCCTTTTTAGCTTATGAAGGAGTTTGCTGAGAATAGCTTACACGGATAGATTTAAAGTGAACTAATTTAATTCTGTGTTTTTTTCCAGTCTATAAATATGGATGTGCCACAGCAATTGCTCGACAAATATATATATATATACTTTTTTTTTTTTTTTACCCATTGAATAGCCTTTTCTTAAAATCATAAATGTATTTCTTTAAGATTAATAACTTGGATGTTTAAAAACAAAATCTTCATCTCCAGCTTATAGATATTATTCCTAAAAGACAGAAGCGAAGTCTAAAACTGAAACAAAATCAAAAGATTTTGCTTTGTTTTTTAGATCAGAATCTTATTTAACATGTTAAATGTATGCACATCTTGTAAGACATTACAACAATGGTTTCATAAAAATAACATATTAAATATGTTAACAATTATTATTATTAACAATATTATTAAAAATTCATGAGTAATATGCATTTAGAAATGTAGATATCCCATAAGTCCACAAGGAAAAACAAATATGCAATCTGTGCATTCAAATTAAAGACAAAATACAGCGCTGCAAATCATGTTGCACCATTCCTGAATGCTACTATTGTTGTAAATGTTTTATTATTATTATTAATATTACTCCTGCTGCTGCTACTATTAAAATGATCGCTGTATAGAGATCTTTAAATACGTGAGTTAAAAATAATATTGACATATTATTTTGCAAAATTATCCAGCATTTGTACATTTAATTGTCTAATTATCCAACATTTACATTTGTACTTTTAAATTTGTTTTAAAAAATATATATATACTAAGTAAATGCAACCAATCCCTGTTGGTCAGTATAAGTTTCTTTTTTTTTTTTGGTAAGCATTCATTGTGGAGGCTTTTTAGGCCACACCTCCTGCAGAACTGCCTAAATGATGAATAACTGGTCGAGTGTCAAGCATGGATTCATTTCAGGTCGACTTCTCTATTAGCTTAAGGACAGTCCAATGGGGTTTTTTTAAGCATTTTAGCCATGCAGATGTGGAACCAATCCCTGTTTGTCAGTATAAGTTTTTTTTTTTTTTTTTTTGGTAAGCATTGTGGAGGCGTTTTAGCCCACACCTCCTGCAGAACTGCCTAAATGATGAATAACTGGTCGAGTGTCAAGCATGGATTCATTTCAGGTCGACTTCTCTATTAGCTTAAGGACAGTCCAATGGGGTTTTTTTAAGCATTTTAGCCATGCAGATGTGGGCGCTTGCTTTTGGCGCGTCATGTATTAACCATGTATCTTAACTGTAATTCAGCTAGAGGTCATTGAAAGATGACTATTTTCTGATCCAGATCAGAACTTGATTTTACTCCAGGAATAAATCATGAAAGTCTTACTAATAGAGAAAATTACTTATTTATAAACACATTTTAGTCATCATCTCCCCGTTTACATGTATTAGGCTTGGCTTTGCAATTAATAAAACAGTCATGTTACATAAATTTAGCAAGTTATATAAATCTAGACTCTGTCTTTTTCCTGCCAGTGGCTGCATTAGCAAAACCCAAACTATTTTGAGTGTCATTTGAACACACTTACCAAATTACTGCTGTTTTTAATACTATTTACCAGTCATATTACTCTTACTAATTATATACCTTTTTAAATAATTGAAATGATCGTTTTATGAAAAGAGTCGGGTTTATACTCTATAGATTATACCATAAATATTTTCAAACGTTCATGTTATACATTTAACAGAATTATATCAAATGTCCTAAGAGAAAATAAAGCTGATATTTGCTTGCAAGTGAAGAATAATCACTTAAAAGCAGATTCATATTTTCATATGTGCATTATTCTATTTAGATTTAATTCAAATTTTTATTCTAGTTACATCAAAGTCATTATTTGTTCATCATTCAAAAAAAACAAAAACAATAGACAGTGTAATAGCAGTAATAAGCTTTAGTTATTTATTGCTTAATAATCTATTTGACTTATTCAATATTTCAAGTTAAATGCAATTAACATGTTTTTGTAGTACGAAACCAAAATCTGAAGTTTTACCTACTTATTCTTGGTTTATGAAAAATGAATATAAATGTGAGTTTTCATGACTTATTAGGGTTTACAGTAGCAATGTTATGTATAATTGTTGTAATATTTATTGCTGTAGCTCATGTAAGAAAGTCAATGATTATAATAATATTTGGTGTCTAAAGTTTTTCTTTTTTCCTGGCAGATTCTGCATTAGTAAATCCAGAGGCAACGGGGACAAAGTCTGCAAAACACACTCAAGACATTACAGCAGATGTAGCGACAACCCTACTCCAGCTCATCTCCCAGCAAGCCTCCGAGAGCAGACGTCCTGCTGCAGACCTGTGCCCCGGCCGGGGACCCTCCTCTCCCCCGAGCGCCACCCCACCGCCAGCTTCCTCTTACACCCCCTCGCCCGCAAGCGCTGCTCCGGAAACTCAGTTCACCCAGGACCAAGACCTGAGGTACACCCTGGGAGGAGCCGCCGGCCCTTCCTGAACCGTTCTCTGAACCTGATCTTTTTGTTCATTGTCATTTTTTTTTACTTAATGTGCTTTAGCCGCTAAACTTAGGTTTACTACATATTAATATATTTCTTTCTTCCGTTAACGGAAAAAGTGAATGTTGAAGGAACTGTTCTTGAATGCGAATGGATGATGTTCATCCCTCCCACAGCGTTATTTGGAGAGCATCTTTTCCCGCGTCTCCGACTGTGACGGTCTGTGAGTTTTAGCCATGTGTGATTTCTTTGAGGGCTGCGTAAATGTCTAAATCAAGCTACTTTCTTTAGTGCTGTTGTGTGTAAAGCAAGAGACTCGATCCGGCTTGTGCTACTTCATCCTTTCTGATTCCGTACAAAAGGCATGAGGAAAACTTGAAGTCATTTGCAGTACTTGAGTGAGGCCTTTGGTTTCACAGATTCATATTAGCTTGTGCAAAAGATGTGTTCTTATTTTGATTTTTGGTGGGTGGGGCGGGGGGGGTGTATGTCCTCATCCAAATGTTGTTTTCAGGACCACAAGGTTTAGCAAAGTTCATTTAAATCGAAAGCATCTTCAGAAAGACACTGAACTGACTTGAATTTTAGCGCCAGATTTGCCAGTTTTGATTTGACTCTGCCAAGTGTACATGTTGTAAACTGATAATAAATGAAAAATGTGGCCGAGTAAAATGTGTCTGGTACATTTTATGTAAACATATGCATGTCCATTTTATCATGCACATTTATATGCACACTTTGAACATTTTGTAGTGCTGCATTAGATAGGATTTCTGAAGTGCATGCAAAATATGCTGCCATAATACTAGGGTTTTGTAGATGATTGCCATGACATTGCTATGCGGTGGCTGTTTTGAGTATGTTGCTATGTGGTTACTAGGGTGTTGAGTGGATGTTCAGCAGTTTTATTCTGCACCAAGTGCAAAAAAAAAAAAGGCAGATTAGTGAAAAAAAGCCAAATCTCTTGAAAATGTAGTAACACACCTCTACAAGACGCATGGTTTGAAGCAGCGTGAAAGAAGAGAATAAAAATTTAAGGCAGGTAAGATTTGCTTTTAAATACTTTAACTGTTAGAAACATAACTAAAATCTACTTAACTGAAGTTAAATGACTCAAAGTTATAAGTAAATCTACCCCCACTGCTGTTGAGTATTATATTAAAGTAATAATAATCGTGCTGTCAAATGATTAATCGCGATTAATCGCATCCAAAATAAAAGCTTTTGTTTACAAAATATATGTGTGTACTGTATATTTATTATGTAAATATAACTACAAACACGTGCAAGTATTTAAGAAAAATTTTTATATTTTATATATATATATATATTTATATAGTGAGTACATGTAAATATTCGATTAATCACAATTAATCTCATCCAAAATAAAAGTTTTTGTTTACAAAATATATGTGTGTACTGTATATTTATTATGTAAATATAACTACAAACACGTGCAAGTATTTAAGAAAAATGTTTATATTTTATATATATATATATATATTTATATAGTGAGTACATGTAAATATTTTCAAAACATAAAATGTGTGTATTTATACGAACACAAAATATAAACAGTACACATATTATGTAAACAAAAACTTATTTTGGATGTGATTAATTGCGATTAATCGTTTAGCAGCACTGAATAATAACAATACAACATTCATGCCTTGACGTTTAATATAAAGGCGTTTGTTTTAATCAAGAAGCTTTTTTTCCCCCTGTTCTTTCAGGCCGTTTCTCATAGATGCCAAATGGAGATTTAGGACACTGGCATTGAGTGCTGCTAACAGCATGGCTCAAATCGGGGGATTTGGGAAGGTCGAGACGTGCACTTGTCAGATTTCATCTGTGAGCAAATGCTGCATTAATATGCGAGTGAGAAAATTTGTGTTCAACCATCTGCAGAATGTGGCATTAAAAAAACAAGCTAGCCGGCCTGAGTGGTCCACAGCTGCTGACATGGTCATTAGATATTGAATTTTTTGGTTTGTTCCCAGTGGAATTCAGGACTTGGGAAAAATGTGAGTAGAAGAGCAAGGACCATTTGTTGCACTTTTTTGGTATTTATTTTAGTTACATTAGTCTGAAAATGCTTTGAAATGTATTTAGTTAATTCAATGTGTGCCTTAATTGAGCCAGGTATAACACTGCAGTTCAAAATACTTGTCATTAGGACTTTTTTTTTTTTAAATAAATAATTTATACTCACCAAGGCAGCATTTATTTGATCCAAATTCAGTAAAAACATAATATTGAAGTTTAAAATAACAGTTTTCTATTTGAATTCATTTTAAAATGCAATTTATTCCTGTGACGTGAAGCTAAATTTTCAGCATTACTCCAGTCTTCAGTGTCACATCATTCTAATATGATGATTTGCTGCTCAAGAAACATTTATTATCAATGTTGAAAGCAGTTGTGCTGCTTCATGTTTTTGTGGAGCCTGATATTTATTTGTTTAAAAGAACAGCAGTTATTTGAAAATGTCTTTTACCCACTTTTGACCAATTTATTTTGCCCTTTAACCATGAAATATTTACATAGTTTCACAATTACAGTAAATGGGATATAGTATATATGCTTTTTATTTTAGTGAGAATGTAAAACCAATTCTATTGAAAGCTTCTGTTAACTGTTTGTTTAATAGACAGACAGTTCATATCCAGATACTGTGCTAAAATCCTGGCTGAAATGTTGTAGCAGTGACTGAGTTTCACTCATTTCCTTTAGTCTCAAATAAGAGTTGAGAAGCAGGTCTGAAGATGCTGACGACAGCTTGATTAAAGCCATTTTTAGTCACTATTTTTGGTGCTCAGCTAAATTTGTAGCTCTCGCATGAACACTTGTGCTGAAATAGACCAGACGGGCAAAGCCGGAAACCTTTTGATTTATTTGATGTTTGAGCGCTTAATGTTTATTAGTTTATCTCACGCAAAATATTAGGGGTAAATGTTACCTAGATGTTTTTTACAGGTCAAATTGTATTTGCTGTCTAAAATGTTTTGGCGTTTTCATTATTTTCTATTAAGCTCATGTTTTATCCGCTAGATGTCGCTAGTAAGTCTTCTGAGCAGTGGGCCTGAATGTCATTGTGTTGAGAGAGGATCTTGTCCTGCTGGAGAGTTTGCGTATATAACTTAAAAGGGTTTTTATTCTTTTTGAAAGAAAGACTTCAGAGACACCTGTAGTCTCACAAGTTTAAGACCGTTCACAACTTTTAAAGTCTGTTACATAAAAACATAGCCTAGAATGGTCTAATTTGATACTGAACAGTCTGATTACCGTTTGGTTAACTGCTAGTTAGTCATATTAATAATGATCTTTAAAAAAGCATCATATGACCCCTTTAAGGCACAGTCTCAACATAATGGCTATATTTATGCAACTGGCCCAGGTGTGAATTTGCATCACAAAATCTTTCAAGTGTTGCTTCAGCTGCTTAATGTCCACTGTTGCTTTAGTATTTAATTTACATTCTATATTGATTAAGTTTTTAACCAGCTTTTAATTTTATATTTTCAGGTTTCATTTTTAATGTAAGTTTTAGCAACTGTATAGCCTAACTGTATTTTTCTAAATTCCTTGATGTTTATCTTTTAGAAATGTTAACATTTCTATTTTTAGTAATTGAATTTTTATGCTTTATTTCAATTAACAAAAGAAATACATTTTTATTAATTTGTTTACAATAACAACATTGAATGTTTCCTGATTTTTGTCTGCTAAATTTTTTAAACTTATGCAGAATTATTTGAAAACCATCATTTATACTGTGTAATAATAACATGCCAAACATTATTTAAAATGTGTTTTGGATGCATTTTATACATATGGTTGTCAAAAAGGTATGTAGAAACTTAAGTCACTTTTAAAATATCTGATTGACATTCATCCAAGTTATCATCTTTTGTGTTACAGAATACAGAGAAAGCAAGTCATACAATGTTAGGGTGACATGAGGGTGAGTAAATAAAGGATTTTCATTTTTTGGTGAACTATCCCTTTAAGTCAGAGCCACTGTAACTGGACAAGTTATTGATGCTGTGCTAAGCATCAAATCAGTGTCACTCCTGGTGATTTTCAACATCAACACAGCTATTTAGAATGTGTCAAACTGAAGTATACATTGAAATTGGTTGCTGACATGAATTATTGCCCTCTCTCTATATTTCTCTCGCTCTCTATTAATCTCCTATTCACAAATAGAGGCCAAAAGAGGCTCAGCCAGCTGGATGAGATTATCTCTTTTTTTCTGATTAGAAATCAACGTCAGCACACCCCCCTAAAACACGCGAGTGTACCATCCTCTCTCTGAGCTCCGCCCCTCTCCGTCCTCCCGGCTGATATAAGGACGCCCACACCGACTCCAAACACTGTGAGAGGGAGAAAACCAGAGGTCACACTGATAAGAGAAAGGAAAAAAAGAGGCCGCCGGCATATCTGAGAGGCTCAACAGACAGACAAATCAGAGAAGAGTCAAGGAGAGAGGAGACCGCACCACCAGCACTGAAGAAAGCTGCCTGGAGGACGCCACGTGTGTGTGCATATATGTTGAGACAGGCATAGGTAGATTCCAGGGATATTTGTGAGACTGACAGAGGACCAAAGCACATCATGGATCCCTCGAGTCCCTCAGAGGGCCCCGTGGAACCCAAAGAAAGGAGGAAAATCCAGTTCGCCGTCCCGCCAACAGAACCGACTCAGCTGGACCCTCGGCAGGTTGAGATGGTAGGACTTTCGCGCACACACACGCTGACTGGTAGCAATGACCCTTTTGGGCCCTAAGCTACTTTATCCTGGTGGAGCAGTTTAAAGTCACTTTGAAGTGTTAGTGTGCATGATGGTGACTTGAACATTTTCTGCAACTCTTGAACCTGTCAAGAACATGTCTGGGTCATATTTCAAGCCAAAATCAGATTTACTTAAAACAGATAAGTCTTATTTTTAGTTCTTTAAGAAAAATTCCATTGTGACATTTTCATGAATTTAATGCAAAATAAAAATGGAATTACTCTAATGTAAAAGAAATTGATATATTTTCATTTTTATTGTAGTTTTTTATTTATGCTATTTAAATTTTTTATAAAAAGTAAAACTTGAACATTTTTTAAAAATGTAACATTTTTAAGAACATTTTAAAAAAATTTAAATAAAATATATTTTTTTAATCTGTTACATGAATTAGAATCTAATGAGTGTAATGGAATTTACAAAAAATACAAATGTACAACTTATAATGCGAATGTGTAACTTACGTATGCTATTCTATGTATGATGTTTTATTTAAAAAATCTTTTATTTATTTATATTATTATTTATAGTTTATTAATAGTTTATTTAAAAATCTTTATAAAGTTTTAAAAAATCAAATGTTTAAAATGAAGATTAAAAAATAAGTTCTGTTACAATACAAAAGGGAATCTAATGAAAGTAAGGGAAATTACAAAAAAAGTGTATAACTTTTTATTCATGCTATTTTAATAAAATTAAAAAAAAAGTAAAAAATAAAAAAGTACCATTTTAAAATAAAAAATGTTACAGAAATGAGAATCTAATGACAAAGGACGTCCTGGGAGAAATGTGCTTATTTATTTATCATTAAAGTAATGCCCAAATGCAAAACAATCTTAATGGTCCGAAAAATAGGCTTCATATTCTTGATGTAA